GCTCTTTCCTCGCTGGTGAGCTGGCACATGCTGCTTTTGCAGGTCTGGGGGCTCGTGAGAAATTCCCATCTCTGGGAGATGTGGAAAATGGGGAGAAAATGCGTTTCTGGCTCTTATGAGTGTGGGGAAGGGCTCGTGGCTGGGGGTTGGAGGCATCCCTGAAGTCTCGGGAGCTGTAAGGAAGAAAATGCAAATAGACTTGCTGCTTTTTTTTGGTGAGCTGGCACATGCTGCTTTTGCAGGTCTGGGGGCTCGTGAGAAATTCCCATCTCTGGGAGATGTGGAAAATGGGGAGAAAATGCGTTTCTGGCTCTTATGAGTGTGGGGAAGGGCTCGTGGCTGGGGGTTGGAGGCATCCCTGAAGTCTCGGGAGCTGTAAGGAAGAAAATGCAAATAGACTTGCTGCTTTTTTTTGTTTTTAAATCTCATTGCTTTTAAACTGGTTTTCATTATTTTCTGGATCCAACTCTTTGCTCGGATGGCGAGGCTGGGGGAGCAGAGTCAGCCGGGCAGCCGGGGGGTCCCCCTGTCCTGTGGGGAAGCCGTGGGCACCGTGCCTGGGTGGCATTCGGGGGCTCTGCTCGCTCCCAGCTCCAGACCGTGTCCCAGTGTGACCCCCCCGGTTGTCCCGGTACCCCTTCGTCCCGCGAGATGCTCTGGGCTCGAGATGCTCCTCGTTTTCGGGACCGTTGGCTCCAGCCTGGTCCTGGCGCTCCGGCTCCTGCTGCCCAGCCTGGAGGTCAGCTCCCACGCTGAGGATGGGCAGAAAGAGAGGAGAGCTGGTTTAGAGCTTGATAGTAAAAATCACTTTTTTTTTTATTAAAACATAAACTGCTTTATAGAAAACTCTTCACTGCTCCATCAATCTGCCTCCGGTTGTTTATCTCATGCCTGGTTGGTGCCAGGGCTTAATTGGACTTTACCCCTCCGCTACCCCTCCTTTTCCTTTACCTTCTCCTCTTCCCATCGCCTTTTCCTTCCTTTTGCTCCCCGCTGGCATGTCCTGGCACCAGGCAAGGGCAAAACAACGCCGACAGCCCCCTGCTCTCCCTGCATGATTTTCCAAATAATTGCTTTAAACTGAACTATCCTAATTTGTGTGTGTCGGGGGGGGTTTCCCGGGGCAGCAATGAGGGAAGCGGAGCTGGGGATGGAGATCGCTCATGATGGAAGGTCTTAAAGCTGTAATTAGTTGGGTTTTCTGCTCGGTTTTCAGCTGCAATTTAAATTCTGCAGCAAACTGCTCGAGTTTAAAGCCAGGGGGCTTGCAGGGGGCTGAACGGGTCGGGTGGAAGGGGGCTGCTCTCTCTGCTCAAGGAAATAACCGTGACTTAGCAAGAGGGGGGGGCTGAAACGAATGTGGAGGTTGAAGAAATAAATTCTGGAGTTGGTGGGGGAGTGGATGCAGCCATCCCAGGTGGGATGCTCCCAGGCTGAGCTGGGAGCGTGGAGCATCCCGGTGGCCCCGGGAAGAGCACCCGTCCCTGATCCTGATCGATGCTGGTGCCCAAAGGGATGTTGGGGGGTCGGCTAAAAAAACCCCCCCCCCCCCCCCCCAATCTCTTTACTGGCAGGCACTGGGGCTGCAAAGATGCAGGTGGGCACTGTTTGCTCATGCCCTTGGGGCACCCAGTGGGTGCAGGGACCCTGTTTTTGTGTAGCTTCCCCCTGGTACGCGTGCGGAGCTTTGCGTGAGGCTCCTGCAGCCTTGTCACCCCTCGCCGTCCCCCCCAGCAGCTGGGGGGATGAGGAGGATTGCACAGCGCCGGGGCCTCTCCGGGGAGCCCTTTCCAAAGGAGTCTCGTGGTCTGCTGCTGGCCACCCGCCTCCACCTTCGCATCCCTTTTTCTTCTTGCTTGCTTGTTTGGTTTGGGGTTTTTTTCCCCTCTCTTCCCATCTCAGCTTGTCTCCCTCTTTCACCTAAAGGTGACGGGTGGGTCTCTCCCATAGATGAGCGTCTCCCACGTTGCAATCGTGATTTTTTTTTTTTTTTCCAGCTCTTTGTTTTGTTTGAAAGGAGCAGTTTCAGGGAGCTGGGTAAGGCAGGCGTGAGGCTGCACCATCGCCGTCTGCGCCAAAATAACTCTCCCTGGATGCTTTTGGGTGCGTTTTCCTGCCGCCCTCCCCCAAGCGTCGCTGCCTGCCGGGCTGGTCCACACCGTGCAATGTCCAACCTCCTGGAAGTCCCGCTGTCCCGCAGCTGGGGAGAGGAGGGACAGCGTCTGCCTTGCCCTGCAGTGCTGGGCACCCGGAGGGCTGGCAGGATCCGGCCAGATCCCAAAGCCCTTTGAGGAGCAAGGGACGGGGCGGTGGGGTGGGCCAGCAGGTGGGGATGGGATGGGGGTGTGAAATGGGGCTGAGCTCTCGAGCTCCTGGGGTGAAACACAAGTTGGGGTTACTTAATGAACATCAAAATAAAGCAAGGTGTTTAGGTTAAGCCCAGTAGGAATTTGGATGGGGCGAGCACGGGGCAGAGCCGGGTTGGGTCCCTGTCCTCACCCCACGGAGATGCAGGGTGCTCCTTAGAGGACCTTAGGGTGCTCCAGGACCTCCCTAGGAGAGGCGCAGGCACTGCTTTTGATCACTGGCTGAGTTCGTGTGTGGAAATCCAAAGGAGAAGAGTTGGGAGAAACCGTGGTGAAAGCTCCTGGGGGGGCTGCGTGCCCTCCTGCCCCTCCACAGCCCTGTCCTGGGGCCGGGGCACCCGCACTGCTCCGCTCTGCACCGCTGTACTCAAAAACATCAGCATATCTGTAGGTGACTCTTTTTTTTTCCCCAAATGGCTTTTTTTCTCTGGGTTTTCCTCCCAAAATCAGTGACATTAGAAAACTCTCTATGAATTGGAGATTCTGTTCCCGGCTTGGGTCTTCCCTCGAGCACGGAGCCGCCGTCGTGCTCCCGGTGCGGCCGCACTGCAATGCCCTGGCACGGCCGTGCCAGCGGGTGACTGAGCCGTTGTCCCCACCCCAGTGAGCTCCAGTGTCCCTCCATCCCCTCCGAGGAGTTGCTCCTTCAGCTGATAGCTCTGGCACCGCTTCCCGACCAGCTCCTGCTGTGTGTCCGTAAAAACCTTGAATTAACGTGGATTTTTGGCTCCTGGGGGAATTTCTCCGATCCGTCCAAGGACCCCGTGGCAGGTCAGCCCTTGGTCCTGGGGCTCCTGGGGGAGATGCGGGTCCTGGGGCTCCTAGGGCAGATGTGGGTCCTGGGGCTCGGCACAGAAGCGGGGAGAGGGTACCCAGCTCCAACACGTTGAGGAGAAAAACCAGCAGAGGAGGAGGCACCGTCGGGCTTCGTCTTCCGCGGCAGGTTCCTGGAGGCCGAGGTTGCGTTGCTCAGACCTGGTCCCCTGGCACCTCTTGGCTGGGGGGTTCT